CATGCAGCCCAGGATGACTTTGAATGTGGCCCAACACAGATCTGTAAACTAAAACATGAGTTTTTTTGTGTGATTTTTTTTTTTTTCTCTTTAGCTCATCAGCTTTCATTACTGTTCGTGTATTTTATGTGTGGCCGAAGACAAGACTTCCAGTGTGGCCCAGGGAAGCCAAAAGATTGGCCACCCCAGATTTAGAGAGAAAAAGAGCAGGATCTTTATAATTTCCTGCGTAGTTTTTTCAAACTTTGGAAACAGCTACAGTAGGTACCTGTTAATTACACCTCCCCATATGATAGGGACATTGCTTCCACTTGCCTCAGGGCACAGATCATCCCCTTCTCTGCACTGGCCTTTGTTTCATTAGTCATCTGATCTCACGTTAAAATTCTCATTATACATTCAAGTCAGTAAGAATTGGTTTAACTGAATGTAGCTAGAAACCCAAGTAACAGGAGCTTTAAAAAGATGGAGGTTTCTTTTTCTCGAATGCAAAAGAAAGCTGGCAATAAGGCATCCGGAGCTGGCACTGTGGCTCCAGGGTCATCAAGCATCCAGGCACCTCCTTTCTGCCCCCCAGCCTTAGCTCCCGTATCAAACTTACCTCACAGTGCTAGATGTCTGCTGGTGTTCCAGCTATCAAGTTGATAATCCAAATTTGAACGAGACAAAGTCGGGGGCAGGCAGGCAGTGGAATGCCCCCAGTCTGAGGCAGCCCACTTTAAAGGACTTTCCTAGATGCTTCAGCCGTGATGACAGCTGACACCTCATTGGCCACCTCTAGCTGCACAGGAGTCTGGAGGGTATAAACTTCTAGATGTACACTGGCCCCATAAGGAAAAAGGCGAGATGGATGCCGGGCAGGCCACAGTTATCTCATGTGGTTATCTCGCATTTTCATGACGTAGGCTCATAGTTATGGGTAATTCGCATTATGAAGTAATCAGCATTGATTAACCAGGCATGGTGGCACATGCCTGTAAGCCCAGGTGTTTAAGACCAGCCTGGGCAACATAGTGAGAGCCTGCCTCTAAAAAAAATAGAAAAGAGCGAAAAGGAGAAAAGAAAGGAAGAAATGGTTGGGACGTAGGGAGAGGAGCAGCATTTTGGAGAAAGCGCTGGACAGAGATCAGAGGATTTGGGGTTCATGTCTTTGCTTCTATATGGATTGACTTTTCTGGGCCTTCATTGCTCACCAAAAACTGAGGGACAGTGATTTTTACAGCGTCCACACACACACCAGTCTCAAACTTGCAAGGGTGGGGTCCCCTTCAGCGCCGCACCCTATAGACCTTCTGCCACTCCTGCGTCCAAGCTGGAATCACCTCTCACCTGCACTCTAACTGGTCCCTTAACTAGGTCTCCTTGCCACAATGCTCCACCTCTTGTTTGCCTCGACCCAAGTCAAGGTGATCTTTTTTAACCACACTGCTGAATAGGTTGGTCCTCTGTTTTTAACATTTTAACAGCTTTCCCTCCCCTCCGAGTGGAGTTTGGCATCTGTGTTCTGGCCCTATCGCACTTCTCTTTTATTCTCACTTCTCTGCCTTCCCCACCCCCATCCTCACCCTCACCCTTCTGCATCCACACTCACAACCCATTTCGGTCTCTGACCGGAGCTCCTCCTCCCCAGAGGCTATCTCCTCTGAGAAGTTTTCCCTGACTCCCTCAGGCTGAGTCACGTCTTGTAGATCCCTCTAGGCCTATGTGCCCTCCTCTGGGCTAGCACATTCCAGATGCTAGGTCACTTATCTCAATTCTTGCCTGTGTTCCCTTCCTGGACTCAGAGCTTTCTGCGGGCAGAAATCACATCCGCAAGTCTCACCTGCACAAGCTGCCTGGAACAGAAGGCGCTCACTGCTTATCTTCAGAGTGACTCAGGGTTGGGGCTGCTCTTCCAGGGCTCCTCCAGGTTTTCTGTGTGGTAATTGGAGATAACCACATGAGATAACTGTGGCCAGCCCAGCATCCATCTTACCTTTTTCCTTACAGGATCAGTGCATATTGTGTACAGTACATGCCTTTCAGTTGTAAGAAAGAGCCCTGCCTGTGTATCAGTCTTCACTACAGAGCCATTTGCTCTCAGTGCATTGGGCTCAGATTCCTTCTCTTGCTCACTCATCAGAGATCTGCTGAGCAGAGTTGTCTATCAGGACTGTGCAGGGCCCAGCGGCACAGACAGCAGTGTTTACCAGACCTGCCTTTGAGCGACTCTCAGTTAGGGGGCTGGAAAAGGGAAGACAGACATGAAGTGGAGCACGTGACCTCGTAGGGATCACATGCACAGACCACACAGATGGTCCAGGTAGCAGCAGAGGAGGACAGGCTTCATGAGCATGCCACCAGGCTGCGGGCAGTGAATAGGTGGACAGAAGAGAGCCATCCCTTCAGGAAAGGGCAGGAAGCCAGTCACCTCTCCTGCTGCTGTAACACATTTCTCCTCTGTCTGCCATGACCATCTATTGGTCAGATTCCTACCAGCTGCCCTAGGGACATTCATGCCCTGGGTGCTGCACTGGTTGGAGACCTCACACATCTTTGTTGACACTGGTCGACTTTGTTGAGGGCGCAGACTGCTGGAGCTGCAAAGGACTATAAAGATCACCTAGAAGTTTCCAGACCTCATCATACAGGCGAGGAACTGAGACCAGAGGAAGTGGAGAGTCTCACATGGCAAGTAGCAGAGCCACCCAGGCTGCAGCCCACCTGTCCTGACCCCACCCTATCCCAGGGCCTTTCCAGGATGCCACGTTTTCTTCCTGAGTGCCAGAAGTAGAACATGTGGACCAACACTGGGTCATTCAGAGACCACACGGCTGTTATTAAAGGCATCCCAGATGGATCCTGGAGCCGTGGACAGTGCCTGTAATCACAGAAGCTGCGAGTCGGAAGGAATCCATTTGGTTCAACCCTGGTCTAGCATACACCTTCCTTCTCCATCCTCGCTTTCTGCTCCTCATGGGGACAGAGAACTCACAGCTTCCCAAGGCAGCCCATTACATTTTTGAACGGGTTTCTCCATATGCCATGCCATAACTCCTACATGCCACTAAAGCCTTGGGAAGATGATGGTAAACTCTGTCAAGTACTCCTGGAATGTCTGATTGTGGACACTTCTAGGACGGGTTCCTGATGAATCCCCTGAGATCAATTAAATATAGAACAGGCTCCCAGGTAACCGAATCATCCAAGCTGTTATACAGAATTGTTTGTATTAGCCTCATTTTAATTATCCAAAACAATGTTTCCCTTTCTTTAAGGCTCATTGGTATTCTAGCCTTTTGTTTCTGAATATCATTTGATCGTGGGTTCATGTATCTGTTGAGGTTAATGTATGAAAACAAAACCATGTACCATTCAGGGTGGAGGACAGTGCCAATCCTCCTCTTCTCTGTAGTAGGATTTAGATGTCTTCGCTCACCGGCAGCTATTTCAGGTTCTCCAGAGGGGAAGCCCAAACAAGTTCCTATGTGGCTTTCATCATGACTGTACCATAGCCCCGAGAAACCTCATGCGGCTCCTCACAGGCTCAAGATGACTTCCAACCTTGCCACCTAAAGTGTGGCCTGCGGACCAGCAGCATCAGCGATACCTGCAGGTTGCAAGAAACACAGCATCCCAGACCCGCCCCATCCACTTGCATCGGAAATCTTCCCTATATTAATAAGGGAAGACTGAAGACGCAGTAGCGAAGCTCATCATGCTGACTTGTTAAGTTTTGCTGGAGCGCTCATTCTCTACACCGCCTTGGGTCTTTTGGTTTCTAATTCAGGCTTTCACTTGCAATTAAAAATACTGCAGGATCCCCCCATCCCCTAAATCTCCACCATCTACTTTTCTTTCTTCTTAGATGATGTGCTGCTCTCGCCTTTTCCTTTACTTGCTCTTGCACCACCATAACACTTAGCAGTTATTATCCGTGCCATGGACCTTCAAGATGCCTTTGTGCAAGGGCAGACTGAAGACTGAGCAAATGGCACAGGAAACCGAACACCTCAGATGGACCGCGGGCTGTCCTTGGTGACAGAGCACCACTCTGTAACACGTGCTGTAGTAATGGTGTGATCGCTGTTTGTCCTGGGCCTTCACTTCTAAACAGAGCACTAAGGTGGGAGAGGAAAACCATATGAGGATATTGACCCCTGGCTTCTCTGGGTGGCAGCTCTGGCCTTTAGGAGTTTACTATCATTTACTTAAACAGCAGTTACCCCAAATTACTGATAGAAAGTTACCAGTTGCTCTGAAATCCAGATAGCGTCGCTAATGATCAGCCCTTTCTTCATCTCTTCCACTGGTTCCTAAAAATGTATCACTCAGGAAATGCTTTTAGAGAAAAATTGTGGCAAGACCCTTTGTTCCAGAGGAAAGATGTGCTATAACCCCAGATGATGGCTCCAGCATCCACCTAGGCCAGTGGAAACATTAGGCACTAAGACATTTAATAAAAAGAAGAGGGCAGGAAAGATGGAAAGCAGGAGGTGCAGGCACTCAGACAGCTGTCCTCAACCCACCTGGGATGGGCTGCAGAATAGTGTTTGCATTACCCCGAATGCAGTGATTTTTCTACCCCAGCAAAGACGGCACCCATCTCTACATTGTTCTAAAACACTTTCCCTATGCAAGAATCGGTTTAAGGGAAGGAAACCCTCTTAGGAGAGGAGGTGCTGGGCACACATCTGACAGCTCTGCCATCAGCAGGCAGTCCTCACCCAGCTCATCACAGCCCCAGAATCGCAGGCTACAGCCTCATGCTGTTTCAGAGAGAAGACACGGGTATGCGGATCCCTCTAACTTCTCACTGTGAGGGATGTGGGAGTTGGATGGTGCACGGAGCTAGCCAAGGCAATGCTAGTGACTGGCTTTGCCCCACGGGGCAGTGACAAGAGGGATCAGACCAGGGATGGCTAACACTGGTATCTTAAAGGTTAGGAAATGTTCCTTCTGATCTTTCCCAGGGGCTAGAGGGCTGCACTTCCTGACCTGTGTCCTTTCTTTGCCTTCAGGTCCACATTGGCCAACTGTATTCAACTGACAAGCTGATTATTGAAAATCGAGACATGCCCAGGACCTAGCGAGCCGGGACCAGCCACCAGCAGCGGCCAGGGACCACCTTCAGCATCCACTCTATGTTTGAGATGGAGGCTCCCAAAGCCAACTTACAATAGCCTCTTGTGCTGCCTGCCCTTTGGGAGCTGATAAACTGAGTCACATTTGCATTCTGCTGCAGCCTTACTGAAAAAGGACAGCTGTTTGTCCTTGGTTCAAGTGTTAGAATGAAGAGCTGGAGCTCGTTCAGAATAATGCCGTGTTACCACGTCTCCCCTCCACCTCACTCCTATCTTGTAGCTTATGACCACTGTGTATAATATTTCTACACTTTGTTTCTTGGTCCTTGACAATAAAAAGAATCGTCTCCCTGAGCCTTTCACACCAGATAAACCCCTCCTGATTAATGCATTTTCATTTCCTACTGATACAGGGCCTGAAGAGGGCTGTGGGGGACCCACAGGAAGAGTTCAACCCTGAGCTGAGAACTGCCTTGGTGAAAGTGAGTTGAAATACCACTTGAGACTGGGGACAGTATGGAGTAGGGCAGGGCTATGGGGGTACAAGGTGCACCCCGCAACTCATACCTGGCCCTAGTACAACAAAGGTGATGCGTGTATAGGTACACACCCAGAGATGGAGCACTGTGGATCAGCAGCCTCAGCCCCACCCAGGAGCTTACTAGAAACGCAGGCTCAAGCCCCTCCCCACACCTGGTGAATGAGAGCCCCAGCCTGACCCAAGCCCATGGTGACCCCCACACCCTGGAGCCTGGGACATGCTGGGCAGCACTGGTGCCCAAACCTGGCTGGTGCACTGAAGCACCTGGAGAGTTGGAGAGCTTTTTCAAAAGACATCTCAACACATCCCTCTCTGCAGATTCTGACTCAGTAAGTGAGGGGTGAGGCATGATCATTTTTCTCTATTTCTCAAGCTCTCCCAGTGTTTTTTTAATGTTTAGCCAGTTGGGAACCCCTGCTCTTTAAGTATATTACAAATAATAAGGGTATTGTTGGTATGGTTTATTCTTGAAAACACAGTCATTCCAAACAGAAAGAACGTCTTAAATAACTTGCTTGTCATCTGGGGAGTTTAGGAGGGACCAGACCCCGTCAGAGCGGTCTCTTGTTTCCTTTGTGTACAGTGCTGAATGGATTCCGTATCTGTGTGTTAAGGTTTGGAACAGGCTCATATAAATAGCACAGGTCCAAGAATAGCTGCAGTGCTGTCACCCCCTCATTTAACTCTCACAGTCATGGGACTGAGCACGTGCAGGCTGAGCCCACGTTCTTCTCACCCTCATGTTTGAACTCATGTCTCCTGTTCTATTTTAGAGAACATAGATTTGCTGCAATGATGCATTCAAATAGATGTAACGTGTACCCATTCTATTTGCAGTACAACTGTCACAGGGCAGAGCTGCCCAGCCCAGCCCTGCGTGGGGCTCTGGCTCAGGTCTTCCATCCTGCATCAGTGGAGTTTGTGGTCACTCAGCAGCGAATGCATCCAACCTTCAGTACTAACAGATGCCACTGCCAATTTATACTTAAGCTACTTGGAAACCAAAGTCCAGATTTGAACCTCCGTACTAAAGGTACAAATTGCTAGCAAGATAACAGCTCCATAGGAGACTTCTCCCACTCCCCCAGTTTTTAGGCAATGAGGCAGTCCACCCAAACTTAATGTGGCCTGCAGGCTGTGACAGCAGGTTGCTTTTCTGTTCATTAAACTGGATGAATGGGTTTGAACATGCCCAAAGCCTTGCAAAACTAATCTTTGTAACTCAGATAAAATTATGCATTCGGAATCTGCAGAAAGATATAAATCGAAATTCTGTGGCAGGAAATGCCACAAACAGAGGCTTTGGTCCTCCACACTTCAGGTGTGTATCTGGCAGGCAGAGCCTGGCACTGGGTACTCCCCAACTCAGACCACCCAAGATTGACCCCAACTCAGATGACCCAAGCTAGAGCTTTGAACGAAGTGGCATTCCCATGGGATGATCCCTGGTGTTCCTCTAGGGAAGCATTTCGCCTCCTTCACTATACCCCAGCTGAGAGCACTATGGGGAACAGCAGCCATCATGGCCAGCCTCACAGAACTCTCTAGAACTTGTGCCTGCTTTGAAGATAGGATCCAGGCTGGGGTCTGGAGATCACTTTGCAATGCCAACATTTAGCAAGTGAGAAATACTATCATTAGTTAACTTCCCAGGCAAAACTCATTGGCTGAGCAAGGCTAATCCCTAGACATTCAGAGATGGCTCTGGGCTGGACTGGCTGTCAAGACATAATAGCTGGGAAATCTTGCATGGCCAAGCGCAGGGCTGTGGTGTCCTGATGGCTGTTGGAATCTGGATGGTGGAACTGAAAGAACTGGCTGGATTGCTTTAGGTGTACTCCATCCTGCTACTAAGTACTGCTACCTTCAACTCCCTTCATCTACAGCCTCACCCATTATCTCAAGCCCCGCCATAAAACCCACCGTCCAATCCACCATCCAGGAGCAAAAGGGGCAGAGTTCACCTAGTCCAACCCCCAAATCAGGTGTTAAAACTAAGAGCCTGAACATTTGCAGATCATGTACAGAGCCAGGGCCTTTCCCCTAAGCCCCTTTCACTCATTCATTTGTTCACTCAGTATTGACCAAGGCCAACTAGGGCCAGGTGCCAGGGAGCAACCAGTGAACAAGACAGACCTATCTGCACAGAGCCTGTGGCTAGCAGGGAAATCCAAGAAGAAAATGACAAGTCTTACGAATGTTACAAAGGGGAAAATATGAGTGCTGCCTGAGCCGATGGGAAGGGTTCCCTGGGGAGGGGATACTTTCGCTTGTGAATTAATGATGAGGATTGGCTGTGTGAAGGTGGAGAGATGGACTCTCCAGGCAGGAGAAACAGCACATGCCCTTAATAGGGGGAGAGGGTAGTACCATGCAAAGAACTAAAAGGAGTCCAGGATGGCGGCAGGCAAGGAAGAGGGACGTTTCCGCAACGTGGAGGGCCTTGGAGCCTCAGCCTAAGGATGGTGTGTGTGTGTGTGTGTGTGTGTGTGTGTGTGTGTGTGTGTGTGTGTATTTGAGAAGGAGTCTTGCTCTGTTGCTCAGGCTAGAATGCAGTGGTGTAATTTTGGCCCACTGCAACCTCTGCCTCCTGGGTTCAAGCGATTCTCCTGCCTCAGCCTCCCAAGTAGGTTGGACTACAGGTGCATGCCACCGCGCCCAGCTAATTTTTATATTTTCTAGTAGAGACAGGATTTTGCCATGTTGGCCAGGCTGGTCTTGAACCCCTGACCTCAGGTGATCCGCCTGCCTCAGCCTCCTGAAGTGCTGTGATTACAGGCGTGAGCCACCATGCCCAGCCAAGGTTTGTATTTTTTAAAAGGTCACATTGTCTGCTTTTGAGGGGATACACTAGGGGAGATGCAGGGAGACCAGCTTTTGGGAGGAGTGGAGCATTGGATGTGGCTTCCAGGCAAGCGATGATGGTGACTTCACCAAGAGAAAACAGCTGAGCAGAAGCAGAGTCACCATCACCCTGAGAACTGGCTGGGCTGGGCCTCCTTTAAGGAGGACAGGAAACCTGGAGCAGATCTTCCCCAGCTGAGCACAGCCCAAGCTCCCAGCCCACCTGCAGATACACAAGGAAGTCCAGAGTCCCCTAGCCTGGTCTCGCTTAGGTCAGTCAACTTCAGCCACCCCTCAGGTGTGTGCTAAATAATTAACTGTTGCATTAGTCACACGTTTGAAGGTAGATTATTATGAAGTAACAGCAAACTAATACAGAGAGCATCTCGTGTAATACCTTAATGTATTACCTTCTCAGGGCCACATAGCAAACCGAAGGGTAGGTAAAAAAAAAACGACCATAACTGCAATCTCCTGTATGGGGACATTTCCACAAATACCTTCAGAATACAGGTCACTCCCTTTAGAGAACAAGTCCTGGAGGAGCAGTCATCACGTATCCTACTGATAGAAGGGCTGGCCAACCAAAAAGAAAAGGTAAGTTGAGTTGCCAGGACTTGATTGATTGAATGAGGAGACCAGGGCTGATTATAGTTTAAAAATTCACTGGAGCTGGGTGCAGTGGCTCATGCCTGGTAATCTCAGCACTTTAAGAGGTCAAGGTGGGCAGATCACTTGAGCTCAGGAGTTCGAGACCAGCCTTGGCAGCACAGTGAAACCCTGTCTATACAAAACATACAAAACTTAGCTGCATGTGGTGGCATGCAACTATTGTCCTACCTACTCTGGAGCCTGAGGTGGGAGGATCACTTGAGCCTGGGAGGCGGAGGTTGCAGTGAGCTGTGATCACACCACTGTACTCCAGCCTGTGTGACAGAGTGAGACCCTGTCTTAAAAAAAAAAAAAAAATTCACTGGAATAAAACAACTTGAAAGACCCTTATAAGAATTTTACCGATAACTCTCTGTAGAGCAAATAACTTCCTTCTTTAGGCAAAGCTCTCTGTATGTAACTTCGATTGGAAAAGGAGGGCTACTAGGGGGAAATTTTTCTACTTTGGTGATGAGATTAACTTAAGTTTGAGGAAGGTTGCTCTATGTATTGGCTGCTAATTTCTAAGAATGAACACAAGATCAACACGAAAGGCAATTTTCATCCATGGTTGGATGGCTGTGTGTCAGTAGCCAGGGTATGATTCGGAAGCCACATGAAGCAGCCGCCTTGCCTGGATCTCTGGAATGGACACATTTGCTGAGATCACAGAGATGAAGCTGGCAGAGCCATTATTCATTATTAAGAACGAAACAACAGCCAACAGTAACCATGCCACGTGCATACTCCAAGTTGACAGATGCCTCCCTGCTTCATCTAGTGTTTGCCAGTTGTTACAAAATGATCTAGAGAAAAACTGGAACTTGATGGAGAAAGCAATGACTTACGATTCAGCAAAGTTTATTTGAGAGTTTACCTAAAATCTACATGGACGGTGGCTCAGCTCACCTCTGAGAACAACAGGATCTTCACTTTTCAATCTTTCTGCAGCCCTTATTAGTGCCACAGGGAACCATGGATGAAAATTGCCTCTTGTGTTGATATCAATTTGGGGAATAGGATGGATGCAGTTGCTTTTGCTCAAGGGCAAAGTTTTAACTCCAAAGACCCTGAAGAGAGAACCCAGAAGGAAAACTCTCAGAGATTAATGGACTGTATTGTTTACCTGGGGAATCATTGACATCACAGCAGTAATAGCAGAGTCCGTGTCATGCTTTCCTCAAATTAGATCACAAGAATTACTGACACCAAAAGAGCTGGAACTGCACTTGGAGTCTGTCTGAGTAGCCAGTCTCGGCCTAACCATATCTGTGCTGATCACAGCATGGCCCGTGTTAATCATGAGGCATTCTGGCTGCACCTCCGCAGGGACTCAA